AAAAAAGACAAAAATAAGTTTTTGGGGAAAAAAAACATTTTAATTGCTTTCAAATGTTCCAATAAATTCAAACCCAGATACTCTTGCTCAAGAATTTCCTTGCCAGATTATTACATCCTTGCTTGCCAACTCTCTCCCTAGCTTTCTTTTATTTTCTCGGTCTTAGGAATGGTAGAAGATATTTAGTGTTGTTACCTGGTCAGAAAATGTCCATATTTTCAGAAGATTTAAACATGCACGTGTCATAGGAAAGAAAAAATAAAATCAGGTCTCCGCTCTGAAAAACAACTCAAAGTTTGAAAATCAGAAAGTGGTAAAACCCATCATAAGCCCCCAAGAAGACAGAGCATCTATTTTTCACATTCATGTTTCAATAACTACTTTGTTATCTTCAACTGTAGTTCCTACTGAGAACATCCCAATAAACGGCCAGACTCTATGACTAAGGAAATACTCCAACTAATGATGTGCTGATAAGCCAAGAAATATCAACAAGGCCAGGAGGCCTCGGAGGTTCACTATCTAACAGACGGCGACACAGCAGCCCGTCCAGCAAGATGAGGCAGGAGCAGAGGTTGTGCTCAAACTATTGCAGGTTTACTAAGATTATTTCAGTGCATTGAACAGCTCCAGGTGGGCACCATTCACACCGGAGTCTCCATGAACAGAATAGAAAATACGGCCAATGGTGGGCGCCCTGTGTGCAAAGCCCAAGCTTTGAATTTATTACCGGTCACAATTCCCGTGTTTCTCGGATGGACTTACAGCGTGTGGAGGTCTACTTGGAAAGTAAGGACATGAAAATCTTTAATGCGTTGCGAAAGTAAAGAGGATGGCATTAGTGGTGTTTTAATACACAGAAGGGAGGGAGGCAAAATTTTAGAGTCAATTCAGATACCCTTGCTTTTCATGGGCCAAACTCTTAGCTGTGAATAGTATCCCCCAGATATTAATAATTTTATTTCAATCTTGAGTTCTCTGAATTTTTTTTAGAATCAAAATTGAAACAAGATTGCTCTTACTCGTATTTTGGGGATATTATTATTTTGAAGGTGAAAGAAGAGTCAGCTGCCTGGGCTCAGGGTCATGTTTTACAATGTGCTGTTTTGCTAAACATTATTTTCAAGGAAAGAACTCTATGACAAATCTTTATGTCTCCAAAAAGACAGTATCATAGTCATGGGACACTTTTCATGCACCTTTGTAGTATCTTGTGATACAAGGAGGAAGCAGGGAAACCGAGTCAGAGAGAGAGTCAAAGTGCACCTCTCACATGGCCCAAGAATACCAAAAGCCTATTTTTTTTTTAATACAAAAATAAGTTTAATAGGGGATATTGGAGCCCAGGGGATAGGTATTTTAAGGTCCAAAAGCCCAAAGTGTATTTAATTTGAGCAGTACCTTTGGCTCTGGACTCAACTTGTCATAATTGTTACTTAAAGTTCATGAATTTTAAAATACATTTTTCATCATGATTACGTAGTATTAGAAGTAATTCAATCTTCTCCGGGGTCAGAAGGAAAGACTTTCATTCTGAAGAGATCCAGTCAAGGGTTGGTCTACCCTACTGGACAGCCTCAGATGTTCTCAAATGCAGTAAGAGGTCTTCAGAAGAAAAAAAAAATTCCTAAGCAGAATTTCTTTGCTCCTTCTTAGATCCTTGAGAAGGCAGATTTGCTGCTAACGCAAACATGTTTTGTCTCTTGGGGTATACATATGACTGTTGGCTTTTCTCATCTCTTCTCTTATTTACATTGAAAGTACTTGACTGATAAACAAATATAAATCTGGCAGCCCGGTGGTCAAAGAGGAGCAGAATTCTTTGAAAAGACACAGTTTTAGGAAGAGAGAACCAGAAGGGAAAAATGAAACAATGCATCATAGAACAGACTTAGGGTCCCTCAAAGTACCAACATAGTGTTTTCCCAATCTTTTTTTTTTTTGTCTGTAAATCTGTCAATCACTTGCTTAGGGTTATTCTACATACCTTCAAAATCCCTGAAGTTCAAAGTAAGTAACTGTTACAGCGGTTAAATCCAATCTTTACAAGGAGAGTGTTTCCTGGGAATCTGACATTTCAATTAAAGCTGCAACTTTTCAGAGATGATCAAATCTATAACATTGGAAAACCGTGTAATCTTGTTGGGAAATCTTCCTCATGCTCTTAAATCCTGTGTGAGTTCTGCCAGAGAACTTTAATACAAATCAGAAACTTAAGTAACTGCTACTAAAAATGAAACTTCTGGCCCCAGTAGTTTAAATCTTTTGACTATCACTAATCGAGAGAAATGTATTTTCAAGTTGGTGAAGCGTTCATCTTTTCTGCAACTAACTGTGATCTCAGTACACACAGGGTGTCCATGAAGCCTGGAAACCAAGAATATGCAGAATGTTAACGTGGATATCTGTAATCTGCCAAAATTAGAATACAATAGGGTGTAACAGAGTAACGTAGAATAAAACAAAACAAATTTGTAGAGTCAATTACATAGCACTCTATCTCTGTTTCCAGGCTTTATGGAAATCCTCTACGTGAACTTGTCTGGTGTGTTGAGCCAGTTGAGTAGCTGGATGAAATGGGAAAGTCCAGTGCAGGAAGTGGTGCTTTTCTGTTGCTGCTAATTAAGGAATGTGGAACCCTTCCTTCTGAGTCAGCTTGGCAGTATGTGGAACTCTGTGCTGCTTAAACGATGATTGCATGAAACTTTAGAAATAAAACCAGAGTATCTTGCCACTTAACATTTAAGAGGCAAGAGGTGGCATGTGTGTGTGTTTTTAAATGGTTCCTAATCTTTAAAATGGTTCGTTGCAGCTGGCCTTTTTATCAGCTGATCATATTTACAGCGTAGTCTCAGATGGCACGGTGCTGTCTAATAGAGAGGATTTGGATCATTTATGAGCTCACATTTTAAGGCACACAGGCTTATCACAGCATTTGGAGGATTCACTTCTATTACACAGCAATAAAAACATCTCCGTGGGACTGTCAACTCTTCTTAGTTTTTATTTCTTTTTGGTAAAATAAATGTTAATTTGTTTCATTTCAAAGATAATACAAGCTTATTACAGAAAGTAATCTGAGAAAAATAGGAGGTAGGAAAAGGTCATGGATATACCATTATCAAAGAACAACCATTTAAACTATTTTAAAAGAGATTTTGAAATGCACACAAAAGTAGAAAGAATAGTAAAATGAACCCCTTGCCCCCCATACCTGGCACACAGTTCTGAAGTTCAAGTTAACCCCCTTACTTCAATTCTCCTGTTTTTAAAAAAAATTGCTTAAAATATAATAAATGCTGACATTTCATGTCATTCTCCTCTGGTATGCTTCAGTATATGTATCTAAAGAATATATTTACCTTTTTTCTAATGTAACTCCCCCATAATGCCATTATTATTGCTAGTGAAATAACAATAAATTCTTAGTACCCCAGTAATACCCTGTCCATTCTAAGAAAACCACTTTTAACATTTTTACATATACCTATAGATTCCCCTTTTCCTTACTAATAAAAAGACTTATAGTTTATTAAAAATTTGATTCCGCATCTTGATTTTTTCTTTTACTATTTTAAGTATTTCCCAATGGCATATTTTCAAAACTCTAATTTTGAGAGGGCTGTGTGCAAGAGTGGAGGAGAAACTTGGATGGTTAACTATTCCTTTATTTGTACGTTTCTACATAAATATGGAGAGTGAGTGTGTGTGTGTGTGTGTGTATTCTTCTCTCCCTTATAGTAAATCTTGTTGCCATGAATATCTTTGTTCATAACACCTTTTCCTTGATTAGGGCTACTTCCTTAGGATCGGAACCATAAGTGTTATTACTACACCCAGATGTATGAACATTTGTAAGGCCCTTGACTTGTCTCACTGAGTTGTTTACAAAAGGACTGTACCAATTTACACTTCCACTTACAAAGGATGAGAGAGCTCCTATTAAAATGTTTAAAGGCAGTGCTTTTCAGAGCTCTTATAAATCATGGGCTAAGGCTGGCTTATGTTTGTCATATGGTCACAGCCATCTCAAAATAAATAAATACACATTTTCTATAGCCATAAAAACATGGCATGCGCAGCCTGCCACACAACCACAAACTAACTTTGATTAAACGAGGAAACCGGTCTACTTGTTGAAAATGTGGTAATGAGATAGTTTCCACCCAGCCGGGAAGCCCAGTTCTGGAGGGGGAGGGGAGCCTGCCTTTCTCGTTTCTCTACCCATTCTGAAGAAGGTAGAAATGAACAGGTCAGCATTCTCTTCCTTTCCTTTACGATTTTTTTTTTTAAGCTGGGTGTTTTATTTGTTTCCATATGGCTGAGTTGATGGTGCAGAAATATGGTTGGAAACTAGCAGAAAACTTCTGGTGGCAGGCGTTTCCTGTAAACGCAGCTCCATAGCACTGGGTAACAGAGGATTAAGGCAGAGCCATTTTAGCTTCGAGTCCAAATACTACTTTGTTTCCTTGGGGACACGTTGTTCTTATTTGTTGATTTCAAGTAAAACTGCTTCAGAAGCAGTACTTCTGCTCAGAGTATTCTTATTTTCTTTGAAGAATAGAGCACATCAGTTATAAATCCTTGTAGAAAATTCAGTTGGTTTGGAGAAATTTATATGATAGATTTTTTTTTTTTGAGACAGGGAGAAAGAAAAACTATCTCATTACTGTCGTGTTTATGGGGGAGGAAAAAAAAAAAAAAAACGAACCGGATAAGAGAATACTTAGCAAGATAGTCCTCAAGAGCCCAGCATCTGAATCTTACTTTAAAACAAATTTTTTTTTTTAGGAAGTTGAGGAAAGATGATCCTAACAATCCGCATTTGCTTTTTTTTTTTTTCACTGTTTTCATCCCACTCAATGACGTTGAAGTAGTTCCTCAAAGCAAGTGGGAACAAAACATAATCTCTTGAAATATTTTAAGAGGACATGCAGGCTTGGTGTTTGTAAAAATATGTCAACAAGATGTGCTGATCACGTTTTTAAAAAGTTGTTAAAGAAACAGAAGGGATTAGTGAAGTCCGAAAAGCAGGGCTGTTTTGGAACAGGGAGACATCCAGAGAGAATAATGACTAATGTCACTCTGGCTGACGTTTACTGGGGGATCACCATGCGCCAGTTTTCAGGTTTCATTGTCATTAGCTCATTTAACCCTCAGAAGCCCCCGATGCACCGGGAGACGTTATTATTTCCCTTTTACAGGTGAGGCAGGGCGCTTGAGCCATCGGGCTGAGGTCTCTCGGCAGCTGCGCGGTGGAGCCAGGATTTGGAGGCAGGCAGGCTCTGAGGACTGTGTTCTGTTTAGTTCCGGTTTCCGAGGCAAGCTGCTGTGTTAAGTGTTGGGAGCTGCTGAGCAGAAACCCCTCGGCTGAAAGTGAAGTGCCGTGGCGTGTTTCTGGATTAACTACACTCTGAACTCGAGGGCTGCTGCCTGACCTTTAGTCTAGACATATTTTTTGGTCACTCATCGCCTATCAGGGGTGTGGCTCTGACCTTATAATCCACTCTCTAGCATTTTCCCCAAATCCCAATATCCTGTTTGAGGGTGTGGCTTGCGAGGGCACACCTATAGCAAGGAGCCTTGGAACTCATCAATTTCACGTTCTTTTTGCCGCCTCTCGCCTGGCTGTCTCCTTCGGAGGCCTCTCACGTCTTGCTTGACTTCCAGTGTGGAGAAGATGCTCAAGGAACACTGAAAAGCAGGTGGTCGCTCCCAGGGGCCGTGAGGACCACCCAGATCCAGGTACCTGTCAGAGAATTCCACTGGCTTTCTCTAATTGGGTGGTCTCGCTGGTGATTGAGGGCTACTCAGGATTTGGAGTGGACAAATCTGGGTCCAAATCTGAAGTCTCCCTCGCCTGCTATTAAACACACTCACTTCTCTTTTTCTAACCCATCAATAAGTACCTGGCTGGGCCCTGCAGTGGTGAAGAACTGGCCTGGTTTTGAATGCTGGTGAGCTTCTGTGGCGATGGGCAATGGTCTCTGTAATAATAGTGTGTCTTAATTGAGTACTGTGTGCCAAATTCTCCCCAAAGCATGTTATAAGTGAGGACTTATTTATTCCTCCCCAGTATACTTGCCAGTGAATACTCTTACCTCCATTTGCAAAATAGGGGAAACAGAGGCAAAGAGCTCAACAGAGGTGGCAGATGTGACACAGCCATATAGCTCAGAGTCTTGGTGGGAACCCAGAAAGCCAGTTCCAGGGCCTCAGTCCTTTACCCTCTACTCCTGTCACCACTTAGAGGTGCATCTTTCTAATTCAGGCACTGGGGGTCCTGGCTGCCTGGGTTCCTAGAAATGGCGCATAGAATGTACTTGGCGTCTAAGTACTTAATCAGTGATGGCTATTATTATTCCCTATTCTCTTAAAGGCAAGGTTAACCACTTTGGACAAAAAAGAATGGCATGAGTCAGCGTGGGTTTTGGAATTAGTTTGTGTAGAATTCCACTTTATTCTTGTTGTAGAACCTCAGGTGAGTTAGAGAATTCGTAAGTCTGATGGCTACAGTTTCCTCTTCTGCCAAATGGATTTCAGAGTACAGGTTCGCAGAAGGATGAAATAACGCCACGATTGGATAACTCAGCTGTGGCGCTAAGACTCTGGCACCAGGTGGGGCTCAATAAGTTGTTTTATTTTTCCTCTGTTGTTATCCTTTTTCTCATCTCTTCTTACTGTTACTATCATCACGTTGTAAAAGTAACCTGAACATAATGGACGCACTTAAATATCTGAGTGATTTCAGCAAAGGAGACTCTACATTTTGGTTTTATCAGTCAGCTTAATAAGCCCCTTGATACAATTCCTCTGGTCACACCACTGAGTGGCTCTCAGGTTCATTCAAAATAAAATCCAGTCTTTATAATGCCTAAAAGGCCCCACGTAATCACTATGCACCTCCTCCATTCTGATTTTCTCACTTGTCTCCTCTCATTGCTCCAAGCCAGCCACAATGGCTTCCTGGCAGTTCCTTAAGACACTGGGCACACTGCACCAAGGTCTCTGCATGTCAGTCCTTTAACCTGGAATGCGCTTTACCCAGAACTCCACATGGCTCCCACTGTAGGACCTTTACTCAGATGTCTCTACCTGTGAAGTGTTCCCCAACTAGCCTATTTAATACCACCCCATTGCCCCACTCCATTTTCCGGCCTCTATGCCTTATTTTTCTCCATAGCACTTACCATCTAATACTGCATAATTTAAGCATTAACTTCTTGAAGATGCGCATTTTTTAAAAATTTTTTTAATTAAAAAATTTTTTTTAAATTTTGGTATCATTAATCTACAATTACATGAAGGAGGATAGGCATTTTGACTGGTTTACTTTCTTGTTGCATTCCCAGCACCTAGAACAGTGCCTGGTACATAGAACATGCTTAATAAAATTTGTTGGGTGAAAGAGTGAATGAATGAGTAAAAGAACCAGAGAGGGTATTTATTTAGTTAAACAGAACAGCGAAATAGTGCAGACACTTTTTACAGGTGGCTGCTGTGCCCTGACATGGAGGAAACTGACCTTCCCTTTGGGGAGCCTATCAGGTGGACAAACCCACATGACTAGGCTTAAGCCAGCATATGTCATAAAGAGAGTGACTTAACAAAGAGACAGTGGTGGCATTTGGAGTGGACCTAGGGGCTGGCCAGAATGGCTCCAGGTTGATTTCCCACATACATGGCATGTGGATTTGGGGAGATTCAAAGTGGACGTGGGACAGGCAGTGGGCACAGCAATGAGATGGGTAAGTAGAGAATAGATGATCAAATATTGATCCAAAAGCAGAATATGGAAATACTAAACATTTTATTTTCATTTTTTATTTCTCATGGTATTTAACGCAGCTTGGAATTCTGTAAAAACAATGAACATATTAGCTGCCACCAAACTGTCCTGGATCCTTGCCCACATTTGAGAACTAACCAACTTTTATTCATATATTAACTGATTGATATATAATTGATATATTAGTTTCAGATGTATAGCATAATGATTGAATATTTGTATATATTGCAAAATCATATATATTTCTATGGTCTGTATAAATGTTGTATATGATACATCTATATTATATACACATACAATTTTGAAATTTCCTTTAAGGAAATTTTTAAAGGAATTTTTAAAGAAAATTTCTCTAGAGAAATTTTATTTCCTTTAGAGACTATATAATTGTCCATGCATTTTTAAACAAAAATGGCCTGTTTTTTTTGTGGCTTTCTTTCTTTTTTACCCTACAAGGCCTTGGTGATCTAGCATATGAGTACATGTGGTACTACATTTTTTTCAGTGGCTATCTATATTCTTAAATTTGGATATACCACAGTTCATGTGGCCATTTTCCTTTGGATGAATATGTAGTTTGTTTCTAATTTTTCACGGTTATAAACAATGCTGCTAAGAACATCCTTGTACAGGTTTCTTGGTGCACCTGAGTGCTTATTTCTCTAGAGTAGGTGCTATAATTATGCTTATTTATTTTGTTGTGCTTTCATTTGTTTACTATTTCTCCTATTAACTATTAACATATAAGCTCCACAAGGGCAGGAATTCAAATTGTTTTGTACCTCACTCTTTAATTATGACCCAGCTAAGTGCCTGGGACAAAGGAGTGGTCAGTAAATATTTATGGAATGAATTTGGCTAAAAGGTTGGCTGGGGCCCTGGTGTAGTTCTGCATCTTAAAAGATGGAACTATGACTTATTTTGGTAAAATTGGAGATTTTTGCACAGGGCAGTAGCAGGATGGTTATTTGAGGGTTTGTGGAAAAAGTGTTCTGGGCTAGGAAGAAGAGAGATGAAGGAGGACCTGTTACGAGATTATTACAAAGATCAGAAGGAAACAAGAAACAAGGATGGTGGGAATAGACGGGAAAGGGTGAACCTGAGAGATTTTTGGGATGATAGGATCTGCAAGATTTACTAATTTACACTGATTAGCTTTGAGGAGCAATGTAAAGAAAGACATGGAAGATTGAGACCCATTCTAGGACGATTTCATTTTACAAATATTTGTTGACTCCCAGCTCTGTGCAGAAAGCACTGTGCTAACTGCTGTTGGAATATAAATTTGCACGACCCTTTCTCCTACCTTCAAGGGCACTTTGCAGGCTTGGGGAAGACAGCCATGTCCACAGGTACACCAAGAACGCAAGGGAGTGCCTGAGGTGGGAGGGGACTGGCCCTGGGGCAACCAAGTGAGATATTGCTGTCCCAGAATGGGGGGAGGGGAGGAATGTTGGGTGAGGAGGTTTCAACCTTGTCCCAGAGCCACATGTGGCTGACCAGAGAACATTCAGGAAATAGGGTATCCAGAAACGTGCATCAGTGTAGATTTTTACAAGTGAGAAAATTTAGGTTGGTGACAGAGCTGGGGTTTGACGCTGGGGTCAGATGGCCCGTTGGCCTCAGTGTTGACCTCAGGCAGGCTACCTAACCATGCTGAGCCTCAGTTTCCTCTTTTTAAAGAAAAGGCACTAGTAACTAATGCTGAGTGGAGACTGATAAGATTACAGCCAGTCCACTGCCAGGTGCGCTTACTGGGGACAGCTCTGAGTATGGCCAGACCTGCAGCCCAAGGAGAGGACAAAAAAGGACTGAAGCTTCTTAAAGTTGGCCGTGTCCTCTTTGCTAACCAGGAGCTCTTCCAGGAGATAACCTCTTGTTCAGGTTTACTGCCACCTCCTTGCAGTGGCATCCCAGTGTTCTTGGAACAAGACCCCAAATCCTGCTAGCCATGTTGTTAGGAATTTTTCTTTTTCTTTTGTTATACATAAGGAGTTTTAGACAGGGCCCTGATGTAATTAGATTTGACTTCTGAAAAGATCCATGTGGCTTTTGAAAAGTTCAGTGTGACAGAGATGGGCTTGTCTGCATTTCTGCTGGAATGGTAGCTCTGGAAACAGAGTTTTCTTGTAGTTGTATCCCTGGCATGTGGAAAAAATGCCAGGCACAGAACATAGTATAGGTGGGCATCCTGTTGGTTGAATGAATATTTAATCTTTCTGCATTTAAAGCAAGACTAAATGTATTACTATTACAGTTTCAGTGGGTTACTAGGAGAATGTAATGAGATAGTGGATGTATAAAGTTCCTGGCACCCAGTGTCCATTTACTCTTTTTTTTCCTCCAGTATTTAATGAGCATCTACAAAGTGCTAGGCATGGTTCAAGGGCCTAGGGATATACCTATAAGGTGTGGGGATGAGGCTTGGCCAGTGTCTGCCCAGGACAGAGAGTGGTGGGGCCTGGGGGCAGGGGACAGGAGCTGAGGTTGGAGACCTGGGTCAGGGACGGTCTGTGGACTAGGACAAAGGCTGTAGATGTAGATGCTGGATTTAGGCTCTCAGCACTGCTGCCCATTACCAGTGGGCCTTAGGAGAGCTGCTTCATCCCTCTGTGCCCAGGCTCTTCCTTAAAAACAGAGAAAAATGTAAGCTCTACCTCACAGGGTTCTTAGGAGGACTGAGAGCTACAGAGTGAGAATCACACACTGGGGACTCAAAAAATGCTCCTGCTTATCAGCCAGCCTCTCAGCCTGCAGGCCCTGCTTTGGGCTTAGGATGTGTTTGAACTGTCTGTGCTCTCGTCCAGCCAATGCATCCCAAGGCACAGAAAGGCGGGAGGCAAGTCTGGGTGTGAGTGTGGCAAGTCCCTGCCCTCAGTCTGATTCAAACCAAACGTAAAACGAATGTAAGATTTGTCCCATCCAAAAGGGACAGAGGGAAGGAAAAGTTGCAAAGTGAGGCCAAGGACTCTGAACGTTCTTCCCGGCAAAGGCAGAGCCTCTCGGGTTTCAGGTCTAGTGTAAATGTCACCCCAGGGCTGGGAGAGAGCACCAGGTGTGCTGCAGATGAGCCCTTCACAGAAGCAGTGCCCTTTGTGCAGTCAATGATACTCAGTATCCAGGATCAGAGACGTCATAAACACCTTTTGCTGTTGTACAACACAGAGCGTCCCCTGTAATGTGACACAGGGCCACGCAACCATCCAATGGGGCAGGCCAAGTAGAGGTTACAGACAAGGAAACTGAGTGGGGGTGGAGTTGAAATACCATCGTTTGACTTCTGCTACATTTTGGCTTGAATGGGTGGATGGAAGATGATTCCATTTACTGAGATGGACTAGCTATGATTCCAGTGACTGGCCTGAAGACCCAAATTTCAGTTTCCTTCCACTGGAACTCACTGGGGCTGAGGCATGTATGTTACTATTCATTTCTATATGTATTTGTTTTGGACCCACTCATTGATCACTGCTGCAGGCATACGTCATGCTAAGACTTGGAGATGCATCTGAGAACAAGACACAGTGTCAACTATTTTTATGGACTGATAGTGGCAGGAGGACAGGTGGGAATGAATAATTACTGTAATGTCTAAGAGTATAGCTGCCTGGGTCTGAGTTTTCGGGGTACCTGGCAGGAACCTGGGGGTACACGATCCAGTGTCAGAGGCCAACCCACCTCTCTACCCACTCTTCCTTTTCTATCTCCATGTATTTCCCCAAGAGTTTCATCTAATTCCATGATATTGACTATCCACTGGTGGAGGATTGAAGGTCTGAAAGTGAAATCTGGAATTTCATTACTGGACATCTAAATGGAGATGGGAGCAGGCAGCTGGAAATATGTTTGGGAATTGAGGAGAGAGGTCTGGGTGGGAAATAAATAAATGGAGGAGTCCTCAGCATGCAGATGGTATTTTGAGCCTTTGGACTGGATGAAATCACCGATGGAATGAATGAGAAAGGAGACAAGGTGCCAGCTTTGGGTCCTGGGGCACTTCAACACCTGGAGGTCAGGGAAAGGAGAAAGACCCAGTGGAGGGGACTGAGGAGGCACAGCCGAGGGACGACGGGAGAATGTGGGGCCCCCGGGAAAAAGTGCTCTAAAGAAGAGGAAGGGACCCACTCTATCAAGTGCTGTAGATGGGGCAAATAAACGGACGATGGGGATTTGAGGACACCTACCCAAACCAGTCCAAAGCCAGCCCTTGTCACTGTCCTCACAAGGTCCCGCCTTATTCCCTAGCTCGCCTACCTCACTCACTGGGCCGCACTTTCTGGCCTCAAACCACCTCCCTTCTGCGCTGCGCCTCATTCTGTGCCCCATTTCAATGTGCCTTGGCACCTGACTTCCTGGGGGGGGTCTCTGCTCCTCAGGGGGCCCCAATCTAAAACAGCAGGCATCTTCTCCTCTCCAGTGATCTGTGCGGCCAATGGAACGATCCGTATGTTGTCTGTCTCCTCGAGAAGATAAGCTCTAAAGGGGCAAGGCCTGGGCTGTTTTCACTGTAAGCCCTCTCCCCCAAACACAGCCCAGTGCCAAGCCCCCCGGAACTCTGCCCTTACAGCTCTGCGGTGTGTCTCACTGAATTCTCCAGAAAGTCTTACGTAAACATAAGTGTTTACATAAATATTTTTTTCTCGCCTTATTGAGATATAACTGACATACAACACTGTGTAACTTTAAGGTGGACAGCACAATGATCTGATATATGTCCATATACGGCAAATGATTAGCACCGTATGTTTAGTTCACATCCAGCACCCACATAGTCACAATTATTTTCCTTGTGAGAACCTTTAACTTCTTTCCTCTTCCTCCCTGTCTCCCTCTTCCACCTCTTCATCATCATTTTGGTGGAGAGATTCAACAATATTCTAGGATTAATTCAGCTTTCACGAGGTGGGACTGTTGAAGGACTGAGAAGAGAGGGTTAGGCAAAGGGAATCCTAAATCTGAAGGCCCTGGGCAGGAGAAAAAGGCCTAATGGCTGAAGCTTAGGACCCCAGGTGGTGAAGGGTTTGCCAAGATAGAGGCAGGACTGTTAGGCAGGGGCCAGACCCGCAGGGCCAGTGAGGGGAGCCCTGGAGTGCCTTCTTTCCTGAGGCCAGAGGAAGCCACTAAGCAGGGAGATGACACAATCTGGTTTACACAGTAAAAGATCTCCTGGGCTATGGATAGAGAATGTATTATGGCAGATTTCAAAATTTCAAACTTCAAACTAAAAAGGAGGAAGCTGGGAGAAGCCTGAGCACTCGGTATATTTGGAGGAGAGAGGTCTGGTGCTGCACACTAGGTTTGTGTTAGAGGTGAGGATAAGAGGATATATACTATGAGAGAAATTACAGGGCTTGCTGATGGATTAAATGTATATGTGCGGGTGGAGATGAAATACCATAGTTTGACTTCTGCTACGTTTTGGCCTGCATGGGTGGATGGAAGATGGTTCCATTTACTGAGATAATGATGGGAATCGGATTTCAATAAATGTTGGTTAACTTCATCTTCCATTGCCTTCTCTCATCCCAGAGCTCCCCATTTGGAGTATCAGGCGAGAGCACGCTGCTTTAAAGAGGTGCTCTGCGCGTTTTGGGACCCATGTGATTTTTAAGGAGAGTTTACATTTACACTTTGAGCGAAGTCAACCTTGGAAAACCGTCCAGAACATTAGAGGGAGACAAAAGTTGCTCTGGCAAAGGAGGGGAGGGCACTCATCAAACCTGACCACGGGACAAATAGAGTTGAAAACGAACCACGTTCTTCGCACGTTATTGAGATTGATTAATTTAATCAGGTTGGGATTATCTAAACGTCTATTTAAGTAGAGCCTTATTCGTGGCCCCTCCCATTTTGGTTTGCTTGTAAAAAACAGCAATCACTTCTCTTCCAGTATTGTTGCGAGCCAGGTGGACTGGCAAACTCGGAGAGAGAGCGTCTCCGGGTTGTACGCACCGCCTCCGCTTCTGAAAGGTAATTTCTGCTATTTATTGTTTATTCATATTATTGTGATGTTTTATAGAGGGTTTAACAGTTTGAAATGACTTGAGTGGGATGGGGAAACTTAATAGAAAAGAGCGGAGTGCGCGTTCCCTGGAGCTGTTGGTGATCCCTACTTAATTTAGTGCATTCAGTCGTGTTAAAGGGCTGTCCCCGTTTCCTTCTCAAATGTCCTTTGTAGTCTGCAAAAGCTGGCAGGTTTACCTAACTTCTTCATTTTCTTTTCCTGCTAACTCCTCACTGCAGTTTTTCAGGTTTTCCTGCTCTGAACACTGAATTCTTTGAAGTTGAGTATCTATGTTTTGGCTGCATTTCAGCCCCATGGATTTACATACAGTTTCCAAATTGTTTTTCTGTAATAGTTCCATAGTAAAATAAATACTTGTGAAATAAGAAGATCATACTGCATTCTGATCTTCTAATTAAGGCTAAGTCTCAAAAGATGATTCCAATAAATGTTAAATATAGCAAATTAGTAGCATTTTTTTGTTGTTAGATCTGAGAACGCGATGGCAGACAGGATCTGGAGAGAAAACCAGAAGTTAGCTGAAAGAAGAGGTCTCATATCACTAGGGCAAAATCAGAGATAATGGTGCGATTTTATAGGTATACACTGGGAAATAGATCTTAAGGAGGCCTGGTCTGGTTTGGATAATTGTGAAAAATGAGGTGTAGCTGATGTTTGTCGCATTAAACAGAGGTGAAGTGGGGCTTTCTTCGCTCTTTCCCTGGTAACATGTGCTGGGCATCAGCTCACATTTGGAAGGACGTTTCTGCTTCTATTCTTTGTTTGTGTTGTCTGCCTCTGCAGCACCTGTCTCCTTCAGAGATAGCCTGGCTGGGGGTTGGGGGGAGGACGGCACAACGGGAATACGTGTGGGTGGAGCTAAGGACACGAAGACCAACGTTCGATTTTCAGTTTTCATTTCAAGAGAATAATAGTTCTTAGATTTTATTACAAAACCAAATATTCCTAGTGTTATCCTGCTACTTTTGGAGTTTCCACTTTTAATTAACTGGACGCACTTTCCAAATAAACCTCAAGTCTCCACATTCTAAGGGCAGAATGTGACTCACAGACGCCCTTAGAGCGTATTCAGATCACTCTTAAGTCCATCTGAGAACACCGTATACGTGTTTGCAACCCAGCACTCAGCCACTGGCAGAATTTTGCAATGATTTCCCAGTTTTGTTGGCACATCTCCAGGAATAAGGTTCTTTGTAATTCTTTGCTCAAACATAAGGATCACATGTAAAACTCTTAGCAGACAGATCAGTTAGTACAATTACCTTTCAATTTTAATAGTTATAACACTGTAAGGGTTTTTTTTGGGGAGGGGGCGAGAAGAGAGTGACTAACAAACCATATGATGCTTTTATCCTAACAAAGTAGCAGCTTTGTGAGGGCACAGAGAAAAGCACAACCGTTTCTGCTCAGAAAATAATTCGGTAGCAACAAGGTCTGAGAGCCAGGACACTCATTGTTCTTAGTGAAACGATTATTTGTCAAAACATTGGATTGTTTCCCTGTTCCTCCTGAAAAGTTTGGACTTCTCTTTCTGCTCAATTTTGACGCTAGGATTTTTAACTATCAGTGCTATTGTGTTTACAGCATTCAAGGTTTCAGAGTTCAAAGGTTATCCATTAACATGTAGAGTGAGGCTACACTTATGTTAAGATAACCTGGTTCCACTTGCTCTGAGTTTCTTTGTTTTGTTGCAGCGCTTCAAGTCATTTGTTTTTATAAGTTAAATGAAGTTTCTTGTTTATGAAGAACATGTCTGTATTTTAAGATGTGACTATAAGGCTTTGAGAAATGGTTTGAAGGAAGGAACCCTGAGAATAGGAACCCTGGTAGTAGAAGTGATCAATATCAGTGTACTAGAGTGGAAGAAAGAGTTCTGGTCTAAGAATTTACATCTGGCACTGCTAATTAATTAAGTGTGAGTAAGTAATTGGTTCACTTCCTTTTAAGAAAAGACCAGCCAGACCATATGTAGGGTTAGTAGTTATGTGTAGAATGACAGCAAAATATCACACTTGGCAAGTTCTTCCCCTTTGCTAGGAAGCTGTCTCTCAGATTCCATTTCCTATTTATTAAGGACTTCATTGCTCACCAGCGGGGCATTTGGGTAGTGCTTCCTCCTCCTCCCCTCCGATTTATTAAATGTACACTTTCAAGTGCCTTCCTTAATATGTTTAAAATTTTTCCATTTTGGGTACACTTGAATTCGTTTGCTTCTTGGGGCAGACAGAAAACTTGCTGGGTGTGATTGTTGCTTCTATGGTTCCTCCGTGGGGCGTCCTGAAAATGGGGGATTTATCACTCGCCTTCGGAATCATACCTTTCCTTTTTTTGTGAGCAAGAAAAAGAACAGTTGGGAAACCTTTAAAACGAGTTGGGCATGGGGAGGAGGGGGCAAGTTGTTTTTTTTGTCGCCAGTTTAAGCAAGGTTTTAACCCCGTGTATTTCTGTCCATCAAAGCCAAGTGGATTCTTGGAGCCCAGGCCAAGTTCAGAAATCTCAAGTTATTATAATAGCAGCGCAAGGCCAGCCCTTTCAGGAAAACAATTAAAGGAAAGATTTCTAAGGATACTAATTAAGAACATTTTAATCATCTTATCTCACCGACCTTCCTCATACTGGAAGAGAATTTGAAAAAGTGTCGTTTGCGCACGGGTGCCCTCTAACCCGCACGAACGGCTGCAAGGCTTTTTGTTTGTAGGTAATTCTCGGTGACCCAGGAGTTCGGGCTACCAGCCCCTCCCCTCGCCTGGGCACACCTTGCGGTGGGGGGAGGAGGCGGCGAGGCCGCGTCCTGGGCCTGCGCCTGCGCGCTGCGTTCGCGGCCCCCTCCCCGCGTACCTGTCACTGCAACGGCCGGGCGCGCGCCACGTCTAACCGGCGGGCGGGAGGCGGGGACGACGAAAGGCGCGTGCGTGCGCGAGAATCGAGGAACAAGAATGGGAGTGCGCGCGCTCGTGTGCTCGCTCGCGCCCCGGAGGCGGAGCCAATGGCGGTGGGCGGAGCGGGGGCGCGCCTGCGCGGATCACGTGAGCGCGGGCGTGGCCTAAGGGGCGTGGCCTTACGGCCGGTGAAGGCAGGGGGCGGGGCGTCGCCAAGCGACGGAGCCGAGGGAGGGCGCAACAGCTGCTCCCTGAGCACTTTCTGACCGAACAGTCCCCCAGCGCCGGACGCGCTGCGCCCCGGCGGCTCTAGGGACCCCCCCTCCGCGCCTGCACTGTCCCGGCGCGGACGAGTAGGGGGCGCCCGCGCCTTTGCCCCCATGCGCACTCCCACCCCGCTCACCTTAGCCCCGCACCCGAGGTGAGCCCGGCCCCTAAATCCTCCGGGCGGGGTGGGGGTGGGGGGCGCTCCCTCTGGGGGGCTTCCAGGCGCGGGACTCCGGGGAGCCCTGGGAGATAGCCTGGCCTCTCGCCTAGTGGCCCCCATCTCTTCTGGGGGGCCAGTGCGGGCGCGGAATCCGGGAGGTGTCCGCACAAAAGGCCGAGAGAAACTCCCCGCCGCCTCCCCTCCCCGCCCCCTCCCCTGCTCGCCGGCGCCCTCCTCATTCAAACCTCGGCTCGCTCGGGTGGTGTCGGTTCAGCCCGGCCGCGGCCGAGAGGGGATGGCCGAGCAGCCGGAGCCGCAGGTAAAAGGGGCGCGCCCCCCGCCCTGCGGGGCCTGGGGCTCCGCGCTGCCTCCGGCCCCCAAGCCCGCGCCCGAGTCTCCGCGCTCCTTGCCGCGCCCCCGCCCCCTCCCCAGCGCTGCAGAGCGTCCCGCCGGCGGGGGGCGCCTGGCCAGCCCCCGGTGCGTACCGTGTCTATCACACTCATTCTGGCGACAGTCGAGGTGGCCGGGCAGGGAGTCCCCTCCTCTGGGTGGGGGGCGCGGGGTTGGCCGGAGGGCGCCGGGCTGTGTGCGTGGGCGGGTTGCGGGGGGCGGGAGGGGAGCTGTTCCGGAAAAGTTGGGAGGCTCGGCCCGGCAGGTCGTCCTGCTCGCCTGCCTGGCCGCAGGGGGCGAGCGAGGGGGCGGGGGGCCGCGCGGGTACCCTGCGACGGCCTGGGAGGGGCCGGGGCGAGTGGGGAGCAGCCAAAACAATGCGTCCTAACTGGCGTTCCCATCGGACAATGGCCGGGACCGTCAACCCGGAGGGCGCGTCTACAGGGGCCGGGGGAGGGGCGCAGCCTCGCCGTGGTCCCCGCCGCCCCCGGGACGCCCCAAATCCATCCTCGAGGCGCAGGCTGTACCCATCCGAGCAGGCGGTGCAGGGGCTCCATTTCCGGGATGTGTGTGATAAGGTGGTGGCTTTTTTTCTCCCCTGTAATCTTAGAGATGTTTGAAAAACTTTTAGAATAGCCCTTAAACGATTGAAGGGTATATTTCTAAGTCAGTTCTCACGGCAGACCCAAAGCCAGCTGGAAGGCGGACTAGGAACTCGAAAGGGCAGGAGGGATTGAAACGTTAGCTTGAAAGTGTTTCTTTTTTTTAAAAGGGAAGTTTCTGCCAGGAGGCGCTGAGTGGCGAAACCGCGCGGTTTCGGATGTAGAGCCCACTTCACTCTTGATCTGGCCCCTAAGTGCGAGCAGCACGGGGTGGGGGGTAGCGGCCTCGCTATGGGCGGGCGGCCTGCGGGGTCGCGGGGTACCTGCCCCCGGAGCGGAACCGGGCAGTGGGGACCCTCTGAGAGGCAGGGGAGAGCCCACGGACTCGAGGCCGCGGTCCTGGGCGGGCGGGGAGTTTTCCCGCAAGGTTTGGCAACTGGGGCAGGAAAGTGGCCATCTCTGAGACCCTAGTGGCCCGTTTACGCTTGGAGCAGCAGAAACTTTTGTTTTTTCTCTTTCTGTTTCTTGTTTTCCCAAGGAAAGGATAGCCACTTTAGAGTTTGAGGCTTTGGCGTGTTCCCTTTTGAAATTCCTTGAGCCTCAGTTTATCTTTTGGAATCAGCCTATAGGGCTTGGACATTCCTGACCGGTTGCAGTGGTCCTCTGGCCAAGCTGGGGTCGTGTATTGGCCACCGGGCACACTAACAGCCTTAGCTGGCTTCCTAGTTTGCTAGGTCGTTTGGAACCATTAAGCTGTATGTTTTAAGAAGCCTAGGTCTGATTTAGTTCAGGTTGATTCAATTATGTCTTCATTGCTTTTGAGTTGGTTGAATGAGTTGACATGAGATTAAGCTCAACAAAAGAAAAGGCAGGGTAACAGCAGCTGCCCGCCAGGCCTGGCCACTAGGTAGGGGTCTTCTCAGGCCTTTCACCTTCTCTTTTGTGTGTGTCAAGAAGTACATTTAAGATGGTCTTTCACTGTACTCCCCACCTCCCCCTTCCTGGAGTGGATGGACTGCCTTGATTGATATAAAAATAAGACTCAAAATGCTAAATTTTATAATACTTTGAGATTGCGTAGAGTGTAAAAAGCGTCATGTCTGTAGTGACAAGTGCAGTAATAACCTAATTGCTTTTTGTCTGAAAAAATAGAAGTCAAACCACTAGTTTGTGCTTGCTTAGTTAATGTGTGCTGAGAACTTTTAAGGTGTGTCCTTAATGGTAGATGACTTTTTCTGAGAAGTCATATTTATTTTAGATACTGTTTTGTTAAGTATTCCAAAGACTGTAGTAGACTACCTATGTGTGTGTTTAATCAGTCCTGGTGTTTTTAGTCGAAGCCACCTCCTCCACCCCAAATGCTACCATTTTAAAGCAGATACATAAGTTACCAAATTCAAGAGGCCGTGGTTTATTTAAAAACTCAGTTGTCAGTAGCTACAAGACAATTTTATAATGTATGTGGCTTGTTAGAATAGGGTTATTCTGATTTGGAATTTTAATGAATTGTGAGGAGAGAGGCTCCTGCTTCAGAGCACCACATTGATTTGCATGCTGGAGGAGGAAGTGGGGGAAAGATGACTTTTCTAGAAGATGAAGGACACATACTTCTCTTTAGTGTCCAACTTCTTCCAATCCTTTTATCTTCACACCTAACACAATGCAGTTTGACCTTTGCTGTTTTTAAATAACTTGCGAGGTCAAAGTTTAGCAGTTGTCTTGGGTTCATATTATTCCTTTCACTTCTTAATCAAAAAAAAAAAAAAGGAACTAATACACTGCTTAGATAAAATTTGTAGATAATATTTTCCCCCTTCACCCTGAAGAATAAGACAGCTTTGTTTCCCACCCCGCTCCCCACCCCCCAGGTAGTAGGGGAGGAAGGAGGGGGAGCAAAGGTTTTGACTTTGCTTTACTCTTAAGGTGAAGGTAGATTTGCATTCTCTTTGTAATCCTCCATTTCCAGCAGTGGGACTTGAGGAATGGCAGCAGCCGGTTTCCCTTCCAGTGGGCTTTTTACAGAGGAAATCTGAAAATAAGACTTCATCATCAAGTCACTTACAAACTGATGAAATAATTAGGGAACGTAATGGCCTGGCGAGGACAGAGTCCCTCTATCTCCTCGTTTTAGATAATCGCTTTTCTCTCTGAACGTTGATGATGAAATGGCATGTTTTTGCCACAGCAGGGTTGCCTTTTCCCAGCCCTGGAGCACTCTTAATTCTGAGACGCTTGATTAGAGCCTCAGGGGTCCCAAAAGATGTGCTGTTTTCCCACTTCATAAAATTACATTCTTTTATCCCCGTTGTCGCAAACATGATACTGGTTAATAAGAACTTCTGAGTAGTTTTAATGACTCTTGACTGCCTACAATTTACTACTTGAAAGAAAAAGACATACTTGTCTCTGACTCTCCGAAGGCCGCAAATGGTTAACCCATCTTTATGTTTTACATGAAACTTTGTTTCCCCTTGCTCAGAAAAAATACTCAGTTTAGATTGTTCATCTCTAATTTGCTCATCATGGGTGCCGGTAGGACCTGTATGTTAGGGTTTTTGAAGTTGCTGGGTATGACTTGTTTTAAATGGTCCTTTCTAATGGCCTATTTCAGTTTAATCCTGCAGCAGTATGTTCGATAAATGAATTGGAAAGGTGAAGCCAAAATGCTGAACAGTGGTTATATGTTCTCAAGCTTTAGAATTATACCGTAGAAATGAAAATACAAGACAGTTGTATAAACTGATGGGTGTTCCAACAGAATAAAACAAGTGTTGTGAGATTTTGAGTTAAAAGACTAATGGAATATACAGAATAGTTTTCAAATTACTGAGGTTATTACAAAATAAAAACCCGGGAGGTGTTTGCAGACCAGCTACTGAGCTAGAATTAAAGGAATCCCAACCACAGCGAATAGTCTAAGTAGGGAAGGGTTTGGTGATAGCCTGTAAACTGAACTGGCAACAGTGGGAAGAGTCTTGATTGGTAGACCCTATCTCCAGATTTGGGCTGGGGGGCGGGTGTTAGCTAGTTAAAACAGACAAGGGAGCAAGAATGAATTACATGGAGACAGGAAATTTCTTCAGTTTGGGTGAGGGAAGAGGCTTGATCATTCTAACTGCATGGCCTCATTTTGGAGGGGCAGAGTAAAACCTGAAATGTTGGCTTTTAGGAACAAGGTGATCTGGATTGTTTTTCTGCCACTGGTGATACAGTTAGGCAAATTTGCAGTGGTGGGCGGGGCAAAGGATTTTGAATTGAGACCGTGAGCCTACGTAGAAATCTCACTTTGAGGAAGTGGGACAGGGACCATCCTTTCCTAAAATCTGTAGCTCTTAATGAGCAAGCTCAATTCTTGTATAAATCTGTCTTCCAAATAAATGGAGGGGCAGCCCCTGTCAGCCAGCTGCCCTCACAGATTGCCCTTTTATGCTTAGCATTGGAATGCTCATTAAAAAACTTCACATTTGAACGTTTGTTGACTGGCTCTTCTTACCATCCCATTACTTCCTGCCCAGGGTAACAACATAACTGAGTTACTGGAAATTTAGGGCCAGTTTGGTAATTTTATGAAAAGTTGAGAAATAAAATTACTAAATCTGAAAAGACAGCTGAGTAAGTTGTATGAAAGAATTAGTTTACTACCTTAGCTTTTGTTCTTAAACTTGGTACCAAGGTTGATTTTGACTACCCATTCTTCCATTTCACACAGGAGAACTGCCTAGGAGTCAGATGCTAATGCTTCACATGGTGTCGTATAGTGTTTTGTGTTATTAGTTTCTAGTGTCAGGAAACCTTTTGAATTTAAAATATGGTTATATGGACTGGAGATTGGAGAGGCCAGATATGTTTTGTTCTTGAGTCAGCATTAGAAGAAATGCTTTTATTTTTCCAAACTGTATCAAGTCAGGATAACTTTAAAACAGTTCTGTTAAAACAGAAGTGTTTCTGTGTTTTCTAAATCAGGGCTAAGTTTTTTTTCTTTTTTTACCAGTTCAGTATACAGATACTGAACAGTGATTGTATGTGTTATTTGAAGGGAGACTTTTTTTTCTTAATTTTGAAAGCAAACAGGTGACTTCAAAGAGCCAGACATACTAACTTTAGTTATTTACTCAACAGAGATAGGGGAATATTTAAATGGTGTTAAAGAAAGACCTCATGCCTCTAAGAGGCATTACCCATGTTTATATTTAATCTGAAGTTAGTTAAATTGGGTATAATTAAGAACATGTACCATTCGGCCTTGTAGGGAAAAAAGTGTAGGTGTGTTAGGGTAGTGGTTTAGTTAAAATGGTTGTAGGTATTTGTAAGTCTCTGTATACCGTTATCTGTGGTGTGTGTGTGTGTGTACACATGCCTATTTTCTTTGTAGAGAGTTTAAGAATATAGGGTAAGATAGAACCATTTAATTTTTTAGTTCATTGAACTCTCACTCTTCTGTATAGGAATCTAAAGATCTAAAATCTTTTCAAAATATTTAAGATACCGCTGGTTAAGGAGTAATAAATAATAGACTCATGGATAGCAATGCTTAATCTTCCTTAATTGAAATTCTTTGTATTCATTTCCCTCTTAGTTTTCTTTTTCAAGTCAAAAGATTGAATTTTTAAAAGCCAGTTTACAGACTAGTATCTGTTAATATTGATAATACTGAAACTAAAACTAATGTGTGGTGCTTTAAGTTCACATTAAGATCCTCTAATGGACCTTAACTGATTTGGAATGAATCGGGCAGTTTTTAATCATGACACTCAAATAATTCTAGTACAACATTTTTATTGTACTTTGGTCTCTAATCCTGTTTAGAACTGAGCACTTACTTACATGAGACCATGTCCTACAGGAACTTGCCAGGCTTTTTGCCTTTGAACAAATCATTTGCTTTTGAATAGTTTAGGTTGTAATGTAGAATATTCTTTGAATATTTTATACTTTTTCTTTCATTAAACATCTTTTCAGTGTTTAAAGACAACTTCTAAGCATCTTTCCACAGCGATATTAGGAAAGTCGGGTTAACTATTTAGCTCATGGGTGTGACCTTCATGATTTCCTTAGCATAGTGTTGAAGGATTTAAAGTTACAGGTTTTGATTGCTACTGTAGACTACTACATAGAGGTCTCTCTCTGCCTGTCAGATTAAGAAAAAAAAAGTATGTGTAAAACACAGAAGGGAAATTTATAGAAAACTTACACTGTTTTCTAGCCAGATCTGGGAGATAATTTAGTAGTTCAGAGGATGCAAATGAACAGGCCAGAGACTAGCAGTTGTCACTAAGGTGGCATTTACCTAGTTGTGCTTTTTCATTAAGCATTGCATAATGTGTCATATTTGCTGATCTCAAGATCTACAGCTGTGGCAGAATTCACATAGGTTTACTCACAAATGAATACCTGCTTTAAAAAACACAACAGAAGAAATCAGACTTATATTTTAGGCAGTTACAACAATGCGCTTTATATTTTTCCCCCCAAAGGTTGTGTTGTAAATTTAAAAGAAAGTATCTACATAAGTAATCAAAATATAAATTATATCCTAGTATTCTCTCAAAATATCAGGTTATACTGGATAACCTCTTACCTTAGGTGCTTTGGGGTATATGGTTGAAGGTTAAGTGCTATCATTTATCTGAGTAAAGGTTTAAAACTTTTTTTCTTTAACATTGAAAAACATTTTTGTGAAGTACCTTTCAATAACCAAGTGTGTTGAGAATGTTTTTTCTGCAAACTGAAAGCATTAGACTGTAGGTGTTGGGCTGTAATGCCCTCCTTAACACCCTGGGCTGCTTTTGTCAAAACAGACAAGTTATTAGCAGTGTCATCCTTGTTCTTTTGGCTTCTGTGTGACCTACATGCAGAAGGCAAAGGTTCTGGGAAGGCTGTGTGTGTGCATACACACTTGAATCGATTACAATGGTGATTTGTTATTAACAGTAGATTAGAATGTCTGCTATTTTTCAAAAGTTGTTCCTGTTTAAGTATTAGACTCACTCTAAAGATTTTATATTTTTGTTCAGCAGATTGGTTTTAAGTGATGTATCGCAGCTTAAGAAAGTGTTTTGTCTGCTTACAGTTCCTAAGTCAAGAGTTGAAGGCATTTGCTTATCAGAGATTTCCCTAGTTCGCTGCACATTTTTGTTTCGGTGGGTCAATAAGGAGGGTGGTTGTAGATCCAAGTGATAGAGTTTTGCTTGTGCCCGTCATCTTTACAGTATGATTATATGTGATTTTTAAATTATACTCTTGAAATTGTAGAGAATGATAATCCAATGATGGCCCTACATAGCTGTGTAGAAGTTTTGTTGAACAGTAATTTTTACCCTAAGATCAGTTATGGCTGGTGGCTGTGGCCAGGGATGTGCGAATACTGATTCTACACCTGTACGGATGATGGAGTGTTCGTCCATTTGTTCACCAGGTGCTCACTGGGAGCCTGCGCCTGTGCCAAGGGCCTCTTCTGGGCACTGGGGTTCAGTGGCAAACAAGGCCGGCAGGGTCTCTGCTTTAAAGGAATGACCCACGTTTTGGCCTTTGCGTGAGTAGTAGATTGCTGTGATGCATGGTAGTCTGGTGCCCAGGACGGTGACCACAATTAATGGCTGTCAGAATCTGGCCCAGAAGCTGCCCTGCAGGCAGTGCCTCAATTCTGCCTGGGAGGGTCATCTTCCGGCCCTACTGGAAGACTTCCTGGCCCACAACTTCCTCCTCTACTTCCTTCCCTTCACCTCCTAGCCTCCATCCTATTTACCCTCTGGGACAAAACTGAAGCTCCTCTTTCTCCTGAGATTTTTTTCCCACTGTGCCTCCTTTACCAATCCTTAGAAGCTGATGATGACTGACTTAACCTGGATTATGTGAACATTTCAGAGATTAAAAATAGAAACTAAACCATCTCTCTAAGACAGGCATTTCCAGTAAATGCCATTACCCTGGCTGGTAAATAATAGGAATGTACCCAAATCATGTTTCTCATCCAGAGGTTGAGTTTAGGGTTGGTGTCTTTTGGGGAAAGATTATTTATAGAACAGCGGAGCTCCTCCAAATTAAAAAAATGTCACAGACTAGTCAAATTTCTTTAAAAAAAAAAAAAAAGAAAAAGAAAAAGACAAAAGATAAAGTTGAGGTTGTAACCTAGGGAGAACTGGCTTGAATTTTGCCAAGTTAAGACATTAAACAAAAACTGCTATTTGCGATTGCCACTCTTTCATTTTTTCAAAAGGGTATTTTGGCATCAAAGTAGAAAGGGTCTAAAATAAAGGACCCTCTTTATTCAAATTGAAATTAATCCTTGTAGCTTTGTGTAGAACTCTTGAGTTGTTTCTGTTTCTCATTTAGCTGTTGGCCAGGGAAGGGAGAGTTGTCAGAGTCTGATAACTGCCCTTCTAGAATATGTGCTGTTAATTTCTAAAGTTAAAATATTACCAGGACACTGGCATTCAGTCAGTACTTACTGAATGAGTAAATGGCTACATAAAAACCTAAACTATCAGTCTCGTCCAAATACCATTAAATGTCTTGATTAGCTGACTCATTAAATATTCTTTTGAGTATGTCTTTCCACAGCTGGAGATCTACCCCCAGAACCATAGAATTTTAGGACTCTGAGAGTGATCCTATAATTTCACTGTCTGTGTTAGGTAGAGAAAAGTGAGGTATGTGGTGGTGGTGACAGCTTTAAGGTTGTGATGTAGGCAGGACTAGAACTCAGGTCTCTGGAGTGTTCTATTATATCCCACCCCCTTGGTAGCCAATGGGTGTGTTTACCCTCCATTGTGATTACAACAAAAGACTGAGAAATTAAGATAAAACACTTGAGTACATTCTTTCTTTACCCTAATCTTTGATCTGCAGTCTTATTTAGAAAAGCCGAAGTTAAAGATCTGGTTTATTGAAAACTAAAGATAGCAAGAAGCATGAGAATTTTCCTTTTTGAGTGCAAACAAGGGGAAGAAATGTTTCCTCGTCTTCTCTGAGCCAGCTGGCCCTGCTTTTTGAGGAAGTGGAGAGAAGGAAAGTAAAATTTTTTGTTAACATTGCTGTTGGTGGGAGTAGTTTGCATGGCTTTTTGTGTGCTTGGGAAGAATTAAGTGACTTCAGCTAAAGAAGTTGGGACTACTTAAAAACCATTCTGTGCTTGCCATAAAGATGGAGGGTATTGACTGTAGAGGTTAATTCTTCTCCAAGAGTGAAAATGAGCTTCTAAATAAAGTAATCCATTTTCACCTGGCCAGTGCATAAGGTGAGAGGTGGATTAAAAATGAAAGGATCCATTTTCTGATTAAAGACTGTGCTGTGTTAAAGATTTTATTTTAAATGTGTACATTCATAAGGTAGATTTGTGTATTTTCTTATTTATTGTTTGGACAAGGAAGCCCTACCCTGATGCTTGTTGAAGGTGGAAAATTGTTGGAAGCAAACTGGGATTTGGGCTGTGCATTTGAGGTTTAGAAATCCACTGAAACAAAATACATTATTATCAAGGTTCCCCTTGGCCAAGGTGAGCAACAATTCTGAGATGTTCTGTATTTCTTGAATGGGGATTTTAGGAAAGATTTCTGGTCTTGTATGCTTATGTTTTTGACCTGTGTTTGTAATCTTCAGATGAACTTTTTAGGTGTTGTGTTTCTTGTATGTTTGTATGTAAGATAATTTGAAACTGAGGCTGTGAAAATTTTACCTGAAGTGCTTCAGTTGTTATTTTTCACAATTGTTAGAGTCTCTGGATTTGTAGTTTCTGTCCTGAAACTGTACATTTTAGATGTAAACATTAAAGCACTGTGTTTTTAGTTTCTTAACTGGATGAAATTATAGCAATTTGGTAAGTGTAGTGTACTGATTGGACAAGTGCTAATGATGTAATTAATGAACATGTTTACCAGGATGCACTCTAGTGGTTGCGAGTGAAGCATTGAATGAGGTGCCTTCTCTGCTGCATGGAAAGACCACTGAATCATCCACGCCCACCTTCTCTTTTCTTTGGTTCTAGCTAACCATTTCTATTTTTGTCTCTTTAGATTTTGGAAATCCCTTGTCTCCAGATTGCTGGAATTGACTTGCTCAAGTGAATCACCCAATGGAGACAAAGAGAACTAATGCTTTGTGCTGACTCATATTTGAATCAAAGCATTGGGGAGACTGTCTGACTTGTTTGTGGAAAGAACCAGTGATAGTCTGTGTCACTGAGCTTCCTAATACTTCTGAAGATAAGAAGTTAGAGGAATACATGCTTTCTTTTGAACTTTTATAACAAATATTTGCTCTAGTTTTGAAGCCCAGGGCTTCTAGGCTTGTGAATGACAAGTCTTACAAGTGGCCTTATTCCATCTCCAGTAACTCCTCAACCGGATTCTTCGTTTATATGTAATCCTAAAGTGACAGAAAACATGCCAACCCAGTCCCTTTTAGTGTATCTAGATGGGCCAGAAGTTATCGGCAATTCTCCTGGCAGCCACATGGAGATAGAGGATGCCATGACACTGAAAGGGGCTGCTACTGTTCCTTTCAGAGACACGCAAGAAAAAAACCCAACCCAAATAGAAGGATACATGCCCTTGGACTGCATGTTCTGTGATCAGACCTTCACACATTCAGAAGACCTTAATAAACATGTCTTAATGCAACATCGGCCTACACTTTGTGAACCAGCAGTTCTGTGTGTTGAAGCAGAATATCTCAGTCCTCTTGATAAGAAGCAAGTGAGAACAGGACCTCCAAAGGAGAAGAACTGCAAAGAAAATGAAGATTTTAGCTGTGAGGTATGTGGGCAGACATTCAGGGTCGCTTTGGACGTTGAGATCCACATGAAGAAACATAAGGACTCTTTCACTTACGGCTGTAATGTGTGTGGGAGAAGATTCAAGGAGCCGTGGTTTCTTAAAAATCACATGCGAACACACACAGGCAAGTCCGGGGCCAAGAGCAAACTGCAGCCTGGCTCGGGGAGCCCGGCGACCATCAACGAGGTGGTGCAGGAGTCCACAGCCCAGAGCATCTCATCTCCTTACAAAATCTGCATGGTCTGTGGCTTCCTGTTTCCGAATAAGGAAAGTCTAATCGATCACAGGAAGGTGCACACCAAAGAAACAGCTTCCGGTTCGAGCAGCACCCAGACAGACTCTCAGCAGGAGGGGATGCCATCTCCAGGGCAAGAGTTCTTGCAGTTTTTAAACCTGAGGCCAAAATCTGACCCTGAAACCGTGAAGACGCCTGCAAAATGGATACCTCAGCTCGACCCATTCACCACCTACCAGGCATGGCAGCTGGCCACCAAAGGGAAGGTGGCCGTTTGCCGAGAAGTGAAGGAGCAGCCAGGGCAGGAAGGGAGCACCGACAATGACGACTCGTGCTCAGAGAGAGAAGAGCTTCTAGGAATTTGGAATGTGAGCAAAAGCCATCCCGAAGGTTCTGGGAAGTCCAGAACAAGTAAAAGCGGTTGTGCGGGCCTCTCACAAGATAAAGAGAAGCGTAGACACGCCAGCAGTGAAGTGCCTTCCGTGGATGCAGACCCCAAGTCGCCCAGTACCAGGGAGAAGCCGACGCATTGCTCCGAGTGCGGCAAGGCCTTCAGGACCTACCACCAGCTGGTCCTGCACTCCAGGGTGCACAAGAAGGACCGGAGGCTGGGCGCCGAGTCGCCGACCGTGGCCGCGGACGGAAAGCGGCCCAGGACGTGTGCTCCAGACCTGACCACCACCCTGGAGGAAAATGGAGCCACTGACCGAGAGGGTGGCTCTGAGGACGGCTCCGAGGATGGCCTTCCAGAAGGGCTCCATTTGGGTGAGTGGCCCCACTGGCAGGCCAGAGGTGTGGGGAGAGGGTCTGAGTCCAAGCTCTTTCCTGGAGCCACTCCGGTGTAAGTCCCTGAACCTCTCAGGACCTTAGTTTTCTCATTTCTTGAACAACAGGGCCAATGAGGAGGCCTCCTTACTCTCAAGGTTTCTTCCTGTTCTGAAAATTCTGTGCTTTTGTTTTGCTAACAGGAGCCTCCCACACACCCATTTTAACTTGTGCATCCACCTAAACAGTGCTTCTTAACTGGGGTGATTTTTGCCACCAGCGGATGTCTGGCAGCATCTGGAGATTACTTTTTGTCACCACAACTGTGTTGGCATGTGAGCTGGCACCCAGCGACCCAGTGCACACTGCACAGGACAGCCCCGCCAGAAGGATAGGACCCCGAATGTCAGCAGCATCAGGGCTAAGAGACCCTGGCCTTTGCTTATGTTTTTCTGGCATTCCCGATGTTACCTATAAAAACAGGTTATCTTTACATGCAGGAAACTTCCCTTTCTGTCCAGGCCCAGCTCACACATTTATTCCACATGGATTTCTAGTGGTCACAAAAGGTACTGGGAAAGGATAAACCAGAGCAAAAAATACTAGATGTTTGACCATTTGGTACTTCTTGGTACCCTGTCCTTTATGTCTGGGGGTCTAGTATTCATTAATAGCTCAGTAACTAAAACAATTTGTAAAATAAAGGGAATGTGAATGCATCAGATGTTTTAAAGAACCCTCATTTGCTAACCCAAATTTTTAATGTACTGGTGGCATTCTTAGGAAGTGGAGGCCATCACTGAAGGCTTGCCGTTAGTGTTTCTTGAGTCCTAATGGGCATTGTTTACTTGGAAACAGTTAAAGCCCCTGCATAATCAACAAGTGAATGATGAGAACATGAATTAGTCTTAGAGAAACATTATCATTTACAAAATTGTCTTGGCTTAGACCAGTGCTGCCTTCTTTCATTGTAATTTGCTCATGTGTTGGTCTTGGAAGACTGTGTGTGGGACCCAGGGTGAGGCTGACCAGATGATGCACTGGGCTCTGCCCTTCTCGGAAGCCAGGGTTTGTTCTGATCACGTGATGGATGTGCAGTTTTCATATCAAGTGTTTAGAATGTTTTCAGTTTCTTGGGACACAGGAGACCTAGCGCTTAGCACACAAAACCTTCCGTTTTCAGCAGTCTAGAGAACATGTAATGCTGTCTGAATGCCATCCCCAAAGGGGCTCTAAACACAGACCTCTAGGCTTCTCTAAGTGATTCCTGTGCGTGTGGGCACTGTTCCTCAGGTGCAGCAGTGGGGAGATGAGTGGGCCTGGGCGATGGCCCGGTGCACTGGCAGACATGAAATGGCCAGTCACATTCTGCTCTGAGGTGGTGTGGCCAGAAGAGTCAGGCAGAAGACTGGGGCTAGGTCATCAGGTGGATAGAGTACCAGATAATAGCTGGGAGCGCCGAGACTTGCCTTTAGTCTGGTTCTACCACTGCGTTGTTCTGTGACTGATAACATGTTGATTAACCTTTCTTTGCCCTGATTTCCTTGTTTGCAACATCGGTTGATCCACCCTTGTCTTCCCATCTCCCAAGGATGATTTCAACAGCGTATTTATAAAAAGTTCACATTCCTTTAAAGGACAGCATTGAAAATCAAAGGTTGTGCTAAAGGAGCAGGAACCAGGCAGATGCAGACATTTCAGGTCCCTTGTGTTAAAATAAGGACATTTCATAACTTATTGGATATGATGCAACATACCATAAATCCTGACACATAGTTGGAAGTAGGAAATTGCAATAAGGTGCAGGCTCAGCTATAGCAAACTCAGCTAGTTGGGTGTGTTTGTAAGAAAACTGGACATTCTCTGTTTAGGGAATGGATTTTTCTAAATCTGTGGTATGATGTGGTCTTCGAGATTTACCTTAGTGTTACTACTGTCAACCTGGCTTTCTTTGGATTTACTTCAAGAAGATCAAAAGGCAAATTAATATTTTATTTTTTCCAACTTTTATGAATTGTAATAATTATACATGTCATGACACCTTTTTAGAGCAGAGGTTGTCTCACAGTTGGATGAGGTGGTTGGGTCATAGGTGGATACATTTTCCTCAGGGAGTTTAGAGGCGACAGGGATTGTCCCATTGACTTCATTGTATCTGGAGGATCACTAAGGTTTGCTTATAAGTTGCTTTTTATAAATCAGTAAGCTGTCAATAATCTAGATTTATTTAATATGTAAATGCCGAATGCGGGAGGAGTAGAGGAGAGGCCTCTTGCCAGGTTTTCCATATTTAAGAGATGACCTCTGTTGTCACCATTGTAATGTGTTGTGATGTGACCTGAAGTCAGGGCTGTATCCGGAACTTTCACGCTTGGGTTTGGGGAGTGGTGGTTTAACTGCAGCAGACCTAATTGTCTTTGGAGGGCTTGTGTTTGAAGAACAATCATCCTTTAACTAGTGCCCCCAGTGTTGTTCACTGCCCTGGTCATCCTGCAGGGATCCACGGTGAAAGTTTAATGCATTGTAATTGGGCTGCAGACTCTGATTTGTCAGATATGATTTTGCCCATGTGGGTGCCTGTGGATGATACTATCTGTTCCCCAAAGCTGCTAAATTTTGACACACTTTCCTGGGTGTTTGCCCAGTCTCCAGTCTTTCATTTTCTGTAAAGATTAAATTGTGCTTGCTACCCTCTAGTGGTAACTTGCCTAATCTTAAGATAAAAAACTTAACTTTCTTTGGTGGTTGGGAAAATTGGTGTTTCATATTTGGCTCAGTTTTCTCAATCCTTATTCTGAAGAGGCTGGTTGGTCCAGCCGGCGTTTGCAGTCCTGCCTCAGATTGCCAGGTCCTGCTCTTTTGAGACCTGTTGGGAGAGCAGAGCTGCCCCATGCATTTTGACTGTTCTGTGATCTTTCTTGGGTTTAAGACAAATGAAGAACTGAATCTTTAATATCAAACTCTGCTATCCTCAGAAAAAAACGAACAAAAACAGAACAAAACAAAACAAAAACGTGTTAGGAAGTTTTCAAAACTTCGTATAACCTCAAAACAACACTTGGTGTGTTTTTAGCCTTTTTGGTTTTATGCCAACCAACCCTAGGTTATTGTATGCTTTCCAAAGATGTGTGTATCAGTAGTTAAGCCACCTAGCCTTATTCATGTAATTGAACTATCTTCTCACATTAGTATTTTTGTTTCTGCTTTCAGACAAAAATGATGGAGGAAAAATAAAGCATCTTACGTCCTCAAGAGAATGTAGTTATTGTGGAAAGTTTTTCCGTTCCAATTATTACCTCAATATTCATCTCAGAACGCATACAGGTAAGAATTTAAGATTTTTTTTGAAAGCATGTATTCAAAGAATTATGTAGTTCTGTGTCTTATTTTGTTCAAATACTCTGTTAGATCCTTGAAAAAGCTTAAGCATAAACATGTAATGTGTTGATTGCAGCTGTCAGTTCAGTTCTTTTAGTGTCATTGTAACTTGAACAAACTTGCTGTTTTGAAGTTAGCTTTTTGTTTAGTTTCTTACCACTGTGTCCTGACTCTCATCTTATTAAAATCTCTTTAATGTTTTATTATGCCACAGCTTTTTTTTTTTTAATTTAGAATGAAATGAGAATATATTTAGTAGCCTTTTCTTTAGATTGCAGAAGCAGCTATGACGTAATGGTTTAGGAGGCCGCGGGGACTTGAATTTCCTCCCTTGCACGTTCTGGCTGTGCGATGTTGGGCAGTTTTCTGCACCCTGGTTGTGGGAACTGTAAGAGTGGGATGGTGGTAGCGCCTTCCAGAGGGCAATTGATAAATTAGATAAGCTTTAAGTGTGCCGTTTTACTGTTTTAATTCAAGATGTGTTCACATTTTCCAATATTCAGTATGGTAAGGGTGATAAAACAGCTCATGAAAAATCGTGGTTGTGAAGATGAGCAGAAAGGAAAGAGTGGTTTTCTCTCCAGGTTAGCCTTCTGCTTTGATACCTGTTTCATAAACTTGTGTAACATAGTGACATTCCTTATTTCAGGTGAAAAACCATACAAATGTGAATTCTGTGACTATGCTGCAGCGCAGAAGACCTCCCTGCGGTACCACCTGGAGAGGCACCACAGGGACAAGCAGATGGATGCCGCCCCCGAGGCCAGGGACGCCAGCAAACACCCGGATGCCGACAATGCACTACTCACCGCCCACAACACGCAAACCAAAAATTCGAAACGATTTTCTAATGGTGCCAAAGATGTTAAAGGCGGCCCACCCACAAAGCAACTTAAGGGGATGGCCGCTGCCTTCCAGAACATTCTGGGCAGCGCTGTCCTCTCACCAGTACGCAGAGATACTCAGGATTTCATTCATAATGCAACCAATGATAGTGCTGATAAAATGATCAAAACTCCTGTGCCAGCTTATTTGGACAAGTTAAAGAAGAGGCCAGCCGTGAAACCTGCGCCAAGTAACCTCAACTGCAGAACTGAAGCGGACGGCGCCGCCCCGATAGGGGCGGCCAAGGGGGAGGCCGGCCGCCGGGAGAGGAGGGCGGAGGCTGCGGCCAACTGCAAGGAGGACTCTCAAGAGAAGCCTTTGAACCTATCTCGTGGGGCTCTGCACAGCTGCCCGGCAATTTCTTTGAGCAAAAGTTTAATCCCAAGCATCACCTGCCCATTTTGTACCTTCAAGACGTTTTATCCCGAAGTTTTAATGATGCACCAGAGACTGGAGCATAAGTACAACCCTGACATGAACAAAAACTGCAGAGGCAAGTCTTCGCTCCGCAGCAGGCGCACCGGGTGCCCACCCGTGCTCCAGGGGAAGGACGTGCCTCCGCTGGCGACCTTCCGCAAGCCCAAGCCCAGGCCTGCCCTGCCCGCGCAGCCCAGGCCTCTGCCAGCCGACCGAGCCAAGCCGAGCCCCCCAGGCCCGGGCCGGATGCCCCCGCCGGGGCCCGACACCAGCACTTTAGCACCCAGCAACCTGAAGGCGCCCCGGCCACTGCCCGAGGTGCCTGCCCCGGAGAAGGCGAGACGGCCCGAGACACGGCTGAAGTCCGCCCGGGATGCGCACTGGGCCCCACCGGGGAGGGACTATTTCTGCGGCCGTGCCACCTCCGAATTTGGAGAGCCGCTCCCCAAAAGGCTCAAGCCCTGCGCGGCATCTCTGGATGGGGACCAGCCGGGGCCCACTTACCGGCGGGGCTTCGAGCTCCCCAAGTACCACGTGATGCGTGGGGTGCCATCGCTGCTGCCCCAAGAGTGTGTGTGCCCACCTCCCGCAGGGCTGCCCCCCAAGCCCAAGTTCATGGGATCCAATGAGGCGGAGCCCGCGGGCCTGCTGACTGCGCAGAAGCCCTTTGGGGGCTCCGGGCCACTCTTTGCCTGCGGCCCCGCGGGTAGCCCCACGGCCGGCCCGGCGTTGGAAGGTACGGTTGGGCCCAGCTTGCTGGAGTTGTGGATGTGGGGGCCAGGCGACACCCAACATGTTCTTAGACTCAGCCATGGTTGTGACCCCAAAGTCAGCCCTACAGGACAAAACCTTACCCCTGAGTATTCAATTTCTCCAGTTACTTTGGTTTCTTTCCCTTTGGGGTGGTGATGTTAAAGAGTGCAGGACCGTAGTCCGGCCCATTCCTGGCCTGCTGTGGAAGGTCCAGGTTCACGTAGACTCGGCTCACCTCTCACATTGGTCTCGTTTTATCCTGGCACACTGTTGGCTGCCCAGCCCTCAGCCCCAGCCTCGCCTGGGATTTGGGACATTTCTGTCCATGCTTACCCACCCCCACCAGACTCTGAACTCTGTCAGACCAGAAAATGCCCCTTCTGTCACTTTGAATTGCCGGCAGTCCTGTTATGCCCCCCATAAGGGGATTCAAGAGGGTGAAATAGCCCTGAAGATCCTTGGCCTGCCTGGAGCATAAAGTGTAAGAACTGCTGGTTAAATCATCGTTGACCAGTTGTGATGTTAGGACTTCTAGAATTATACCACCTTGTCTATTATCTAGACTTTGTTAAATGTTAAGTGAATTTTAAAAGTTACCTTATTTTGTGGATACTTTGGATTGCTCCCCTGGAAATAGTTTTAAAGCTCCTACTTCCTCCTGGCTGCGTTTCCTAGATGTGTCCGGCCCATGCCTGTGCACGTAAAAGGTGGATCAGTCTGTCCCACTTGGCAAACGTGATCAAACCACGCCTGCCTTTGTGGGATATAAACTGTAGGTCTGTGCCACCCCCGAGACAACCCATTTGAAACCTCTCAGTTTGTATTTCAAATTAAGGTTCTGTGTGGGGGCCGTGCTCTGTCAGCTGGATGACAGTTGATCTGGTACGGATACCAAATTAAAAAACAATTGCTTTAACACACTCCAGTGAATCTTACAAAAATTGAAATGAAATATTAAATTTTGCAGCCTTTTGATTAAAGGCATGCATTTTTCCTCCTTCACACTTAAAATGGACACGACTTGAAGAGAGAGGGCTCTGTGTTGCAAATGAAGCCCCTTTTTAAATCGGTGTTTTTCTCTTTTATGCAGTTTTGGTTTATGATGCACTTAAGTTTAAAATATTTTGTTACCATTTTTTTTTGGCTTTTTAGAATTCTTGATGACATGTCCTTAGATAATTTTAGCTTCAGTGACTTAAAATTCTGTGCTAACAAATGTTCTTAGACATTTCTGCTGTAATTTCATGTGTGTGGCTGGTATATTCTGATCACATTAGCAGTCAGGACCCTCCCCCACTCCCCAAATACATCTTACCTAATTGTTGAACTTAATTCTGAATGCCCTTCTACACTTTTTTTTTTAAATTAGGAAAAAGGCCTGTGTCCTATCAACACTTATCTAGCAGCATGCTACAAAAGAGAAACTACGAGAATTTTATTGGGAATGCACATTATCAACCAAATGACAAAAAAACTTAACTTCCTATTTGGGGGAAGAAAGGTGAGCATATACAGTGTATTGATTTTATTTAATTGAAGAGAAACCATCTAGCTTTAAACCAATACAACATGAAGTAAAATTGCTTTTCATGTTAATTTTGAATTAAGACTGAGAGTGCTCTGGGTGTCTGGATATAAGTGATGATGGTAAATATTAAAGAATGTATAATAGCAACTGGAATTTACTAAATGGCCAATGAAGTGTTTTATAATAATGACCTCATTTAATCCTTTACACCAGGGGGCTTTAGATCAGGGATCAGCAAATTGTCCTCCCTATTTTTGTCAATAAAGTTTTATTGGCACACAGCCATGTTCATTCTTTTACCTCCTGTCTATGGCTGCTTCTGTGCTGAACTGCCAGAGTTGGGTAATTGCCACAGGGACCACATGGGCTGCAGAGCTGAAAATACTTACTCTCTGGCCCTTTCCAGAAAAAGTTTGCTAAGCCCTGGATTCGGGGGTCCTGTGCACACTTTACAGATGTGGAGACTGAGGCTTGGATCGTGCAACTTGCCCAGTACCTCACTCTGCCTGGTTTTTGGCCTAGACCTGCACCGTGCAGAGGCTCTGCCCCAATCCTCCAGTTTAGGAGCTTGTTCAAAACCTTTGTAAATCCTTACCTGTTGTGGGAAGGGATTGGCGTAGGAGCAAGTGGGTTTATTTTGACTTTTTGGTTCACATGGCACGTGTGTCTAACTGTAGCTCCCCACGTGACTCAGGTAGAAAGTAGCCTTGGAGTTACATACGTGTTAGTTTTAGTTAGTTCCGAGTTTGGGTCGAGGCGGTGATGTCCATGTACTGGTTACACTAGGACTCATACTCACAGCAGCCTCCGACTGATGCCTGCTGGATCCAGACCCAGATATTAAAAGATAGTCATGGTTCAGGGCGGAATCTTTCCTTTCTGTTTTCACCCCGACATACCCGGGGCACATCGGGCACACGCAGCTCTACCACGTTCTCTCCCCGTCAGACATGATAAGCAGAATGAGTGAGTAAGATGGTGTCGTCACAGGAATGAGATTCTGTCCACCCCCCAGGAAAACATGGAAGCAGTCTGTGGGTCAGGAGGACAGATGATCAGTAACAGGTTACCTGCACGGCACCTTACAGCCAGTCAGTAACGGCGCATGGTTAGCCCGTTTGTCCAGCACTGGCCTCCTGCAGCTCCTGGGCTTCTCTGCGTTTCCGTCCACCCGGAACATGCCTCCCGCACCCTCTGCCAAACAATCTCTTTCTGATACTTCTGGAGCAGGTCACACGTCATTTCTACAAAATGTGTACTGGGAGCTAGGAGCTTCCTCATTTGTGTTCCCTCTGTGGTGGTTCATACCCATTTCTGCCCATCTTACCCTGTGTCCGACTTCATTGCTAGCAAAGCTTGAGAGGGAGACCCTTTGTTCAGTGCCCACCTCACTGCCAGGAATATGGATAAAAGTTGGTAGATGTTGGCTGAACAAATGATGTTATGCTTCATGCGCCCTTCTCCTGAAGGGAGGTAATTGTAAGTCATTTGTTTTGTCAAAAGTACTCCTGGTCCGTGCCATGCATTTTCCTTTCATAAGGTACAAACATGCAATTTCTTGTGGGTGGTAATTGCCTTTGCCAGACTTACTGTGATAGAAATTCTGACACTTGCTTGAATTACCTTTGTTACATCACTCTTAAGTCTGAATTAGCATCCCCTAAGTAGCACAGCATTATCTATTTAGTCTCCTGATACTTTGATTGCAGAATTTGAGCCTAAGTGGAACCTTATTACAGTTCTAGATCCCTTTAGTTCTATTTATTTATTACACCCTTTTCTTTAAAAAGAAGTAAAAGGTGTTTCTAAGTTGTATTGTGTTTTATTTTAATCACTTTTTAAACCTTTTTCCCCATAGGTCTTGGTGGATATAAGTGTGTACCCTCCGCCAGATTAAATTAGTTCATCCTTTGAGAAAGCATACGGTGAAAGCTACTGAGTTAAGCTGTGACTGCACTGTGCATACGATATACAAGGAACACTACGGTTTTGTAAAACTGTTCTAACTTTTGAACCAAATAGCAATAAAAAACTATAGCTGGAACAGTTGAGTTGTTCACAAATGGAGACGGAAATCTCTATTTTGCGCCTGAATAATATTTTTTTTTAGAATTGACCAAATAAGTGGAGTTCTTTGCATACTTGAGCGCTGCTGACAAGGAATCATTTGGATTGGGGGGGGGGGGGGGAGTGGGTTGGGTAGGGAGAAAGTATATAATGCTTGCACCTCAGGTAAAAATCTGTAAATGCATAAGTTGTAACCTTGTTTAAATACTGTGTGTATTCTTTTTTTCTAATGTAGCTCATCACTTTGAGCAGTTTCTGCTATTTGTGCTCTTTCATTTAAAATGTATGTCTAAAAAAATTTGTTTTTCAATTATTTGTATTATGGTAAATCCTCTGCCGTCTATTGTCTTAACAGAATTGTTGACGGAAGTATTGACCCTCTATGAATATGTGCTGCATGTAATTGAGGTCAGCCATTCTGATTTTGGTGCCCTTGGATTGCAAATTTCAGTATCAACTGACGAAGAGTCCAGATCCCCGGTCCTTTTCTGAGGGAGTGGGGTATTTGTGGGATTTTTTAACTGCCATGTGTCTACAGAGAAACATTTTCTCTGCAAAGCAGCCGAATATCCAGTGGATGTACCAAATTGTGTGTGGAGTCACTTAAATCTGTTTCCTATCAAAGTAATAATTTTTGTGGGAAAATTCATTTTTCTGAGCATTTGCCTAAATTAATATATAGAAAATAGAAATGCCAACTTAATACATGTGAATTACATATATTAGAAACACTTTTAAAGGAAATGAAGGTTTTTGGGTAAATTTTAGGTTTGCATTTGTAAGTCTCGGTGTGTCAGTCATTTGGGTTAACAGTTGACATATTCGTGTGAATCACAGACACACATACTGAATAAGGAACCGCCTGCTGAGCCTTCTGGGAGTTGGGGAAGAGGTAATCTGTTTCTGGACCTCAGTTGTCTTCCCATTTTTGGTTGTTTTGAAGCAGCAGTGTTTTTCTCAGTGCACATACAACTTAGGTTTTAAAGAGAGAATAACCATCAGCTGGCTTGCTAGATGTTTTAAATTTTTGTTCCCTTAATATGCAATCCATGGCTGAGTGTATTCAGCAGTACATGGGGTTAGCAACACAGAATATTTTATTAAGAAAACTGTTTCAGAAATAATTTTGCACTGTAAAGGGAAAAGTCCTAAAAGAATCCTGATTTTTTTGTTTTGTTTTCATAATGCAACATGAGGCGTACTTGATAGAGAAGTCTTAAATTCCTGTGTTAAAGGGAGACCTAATTGGGGATCACTCTGCTGGCATTGCAATGAAGTGCTTTGTATCAGGAAAGTGTACACTATTTACCTTATTTCCTGTTCACAAGCTGAGCCATATGTACATAATCTAGGTTTTTGTTTTCATAGTTTTGCACTTTTATAGCCTATTTTTGAAGATTAACACATTTGCAAGATGATTAACTTGATCTTTGCCTAATCCAATGAGTGTTACAGAAAGCTCGCTGTGACTATAAATGTAAATCTTAAAAGGGGATACTTAATAATAGAGGGCTGAAGTTTAGCCCTGTATTTAAAAAAAAAAAAATCACCAAATCTATTTGAAACCAAGTCAATTCATGTCATGCTGAAATTGTGGGGACTTTCAGATTTCTCCTTTCTAACCACATTTCTGACTGCAAAAAATACCAGTTTCTTTTTCTACAGCCCTTGTACTCCAAAATGTTTTTTTTATCCATCAGTATTAAATATTGGGATACTACTGGTTTTGTATGTATTTTTTTTCTTTCTTTGAAACAACAGTACATATAATAGAGGTACAGTCCGTTGGATTTTTGTTTATGTATTTATTTCATTCCATTTTGATTTATTTTAATTGTTGATACTTAAGTTGTCCAACAGTAGACATTACTTGTTTTATTTATGATATATTTCAGCTTAAAGTTATGTTATTATATGTGAATGTAAATATAGATTTGGTGTTTTGCAGTCTGGGGTTTTGGTCTTTATTGTGTGTTCCTGGTTTCTGATTTTGTTTTATGTAACTTTTCATAAGTACAATTTTAAAATGCACAATAGTGGAGAAAGGAAATAGTCCACACATGCAGACCCATTTTGCCAGTCTTTGCAGTGCCCCCACACCCCCTCCAAGTATTTTAGAGCAAATCTTTGACGTGATTTAATTTCAACCCCCAAGTACTTCAGTACTATCTCTTACCAGATAAGGGTTTTTCATGATCACACCTAACTAAATGGACAAGGATTTCTCACAACCAATTTCCATATCTGTGTTTCTCTGTTGTGTCCAAAATGTCTTACAGTTGTAAATTGTGATCAGGATCCAAACAAGGTTGATATAATCTGTTTTAATTGATAGGTTAATCTTAAACCTATTTTAATCTAACCTCCCCACTCACCCCCCCATGCCCCTGCCTCCCCTGCACAATGAAGTTTATTGAAGAAACTGGGTCATTTGTCCTGTAGAAGTTTTCACATAATCATTTGTGGTTTCATCTAATCTGTTTCTCAGCTTTTATATGTCTTGTAAACTGGTCGATTTAAGTCTACAGGTTTAAAGTAGATTTGAGCTCAGTTTTGGGGAGGTGGCGGCTCTACGGCACATACAGTATTTTGCTTTTCCAACCTTCAGTGATATTGTTTGGTGTGTCGGGTTGTGGACTAACCAGCCAGTATAAAGTCCCCCATCAATATTTCTCCTTTAGATTTTAGCAGCCATTTATGAACATTAGGAATGTAGGTAAAGCTCTGTCTTCCTTACGCGTTTATTAGTTGGAATTCTGTAAAGAAGTCCTCACTTGTGATTATTGGGTAACCTTGAAATACCTTGAACAGAGAAGGATAAATGCTTGATTTTTCCATTGATTCACCAGCTTTGAGAATAATGAATTTGGTGTCCATCTTTAAGACATGAATGGTGCAAGAACTTACCGATTTTTTGTTACGGATGTATTGTACGTTCGATTAAGCAATGGTAGGCATTTTGATGCTCCTGTCTTTGGCCAACAGGGACTCCCAAGTTGGCTCAGTGTGTTTGAGACACTGTCTGAAGGCTTCTTAGGTTTTGTCCTGGGAAGATTTTCCACCTCGTCTTGAATGTTGCCTGACCAGGACCTGGAGACAGTTATTTCTCCAAGGATCCCGGGTTCCTTTTATGGGAAGTGGTAATTAGGAGTGGTAATTTTGGGGTAGCATTCATTACTGCCGGGTTCCTTTAGTTCCTGTGCAGTTCTGGTGAGGGAACAGGAAAAAGCTTTTTAGGGAAAAAAATTCTCAATGAATTGTATTGCTGTTTCTAATTGAGATTTTTACTTCCTTGATTTTATATTCATTATCTGAAAATCCAGGTTCCTGGTGATACTAACACCGTGACTTCATCCTACCGTGTTATCTGGTGACAAGTCATGATGCCATTATTAGCAGGGTTGCTAAGTGAAGCTTTCAGATCTTTTTATGTAGTTTTACTTGTATATAGCAGTATTTTTCAACTTGTAGTTCCAGACTATCAAAATCATCACTGGGAAAATGTTAGAAATGCAAATTGTCAGGCTGACCCCAGGCCTGCTGACTCAGGAACTTACTGGGTGGGCGTGGGAGGCAGTAGTCAAGTCTCTCTGTGTTCACTGGTCTCCGAGCAAATTCCACTCAAGGAATGTCGTCACGGATTATAAAGTCTGCGCAGTTACTTATCTGTGTGGGTATGCTGACAAGTTCATGTACTGTTAGGTTCATTGTTTTCCATCTCAAGACACTGCTTTTTCCCCTTTTTAATATAATTTTGTTACGTAGAAGTGTCGTAGTCAAAACTATAAAACCAGGTATGTTCGGGGAAGTATAGCTTTCCGTCTCTTTAAGCCTATTTCCTCCCTTTTTGGAAGTAACTTTTTAAAAACTGGTTTTTGATTTATCCTCCCATTGTTTCTTTTTGAAAAAATAAGCATATATGCAGGTATATTCACATCCCTTCTCATACAAAAAGCATACAGTGCACATTAGTGCAGGCTGGTTTTAGTGCTATTTCATTAATTTTTTCTTAAGAATGAAAGAGTACATGTTTCTCCCCAAAATTAAATGACTGAAAAACTAATTTGGGGAGGTCAAACAAAGTTTGTGGTCTGCCTGTTTTTACTCACTCGGCATACTTACTGAGCTTTAACTAAGTGCTTAGGGCTAGTGCTGGGGGCTATGATCCCATGAACTGCAATCGGAATTCCTACTTTGGAGCTAACATTCTCTATGGCAGTGCTGAAAGTGGACAGGAAACTGGCAAACAGACCCAATTACGACTTTGCAACAGCGGATGGAACCCATGGGAGACAGAAGAATGTGGAGAATCAACAAGCTGTGGTCGGTGCAGGCTCTAGGCTGAGAGCTGAAGGAGAAAAGTTGGCTGGTCATGTAGCTCCAGCCTTTAGTAAAGTGTCCTTTAGTGAGGTGTGGGCATGGCTCTGGGGTTGGAGGGAGTCCTATGTATTTGAAGACCTGAGTGGAGACCAGCCGTGGCTACAGAGCAGAGATCTTCACCTGGCCACTACTGATATTTGGGGGCCAGATCATCCTCTGTTGGAGGGGTGTCCTGTGCATGTAGGGTGTTCAGCATCTCTGGCCTCTACCCACTAGAGGCCAGTAGCACCCCTTCCTTTTCCTGTTGTAACAGCCAAAACTGCCTTCAGGCAATCCAAATGGCCTGGGGAACATGCCCCTGGGGGAGAGCCGCTGCTCCTGGGATGAGTTTGGAGGTTTGAGGCAAGAGTTTGTATTGAATTTGGGAAAGATTTGAGTTTGGTGGTAAAGGCAGTGGGGACCTTTGAAGGTGTTCAGGCAAATGATGGGGACAGATTTATGTTCTAGGGTAATGGCAAAATAGACCAGAGAAGCAGGGCTGACAAGATTTCCAATTTGTGAGTTTATAAAGTTATTACCAAGGAAGGAGGTCACGTTACTGCCCTTCATTCATCACAGTGAAATTTCATAACCACTTTGGCACACATATCAAAGCCCCAAACTTCTACAGCTGCTATAGGCTGTACCCACAAGAGTCATGTATTTCCAAGTCCCAACCTCAAGTCTGGTCCGTGGGTCTAGAGGTGGGCTGAGATGTCTGCACGACTACCAGGAACAGCAGCTGCTGCTTATTTACTCCAAAATTAAAGAGTGAGAAATTATCTAAGCTTCCTAGATTTTTGATTTGGAATTCTAAGTGACCTAAAATAGATTCGAACTGGCAACTACAATCTCATCTTAATGATCACTGAAATGTTCCTGATCAAAGTATCTCTCAGGCATTGCCTTAATTTGTCACCTCCCTCAGCCCTCAGGGATTTGCCCTTTAATCCCCATCCCCTCCAGAAGGGGT